CTGAATGGAATCGAATCCGGTCGGGGTCACAGCTGCCGTCTGCGTCACACCGGCCCCGCCCACAGCCGCACGCGCCAATGGGAGCCAGGAAGAGGGCGGAGCCTAGTTGCGCATGCGTGCTGCCGGCACGGAATGGTTTCGCCCGCCTGCCCTGAGTGGTATGGGCGGTCGGATCACGTGATCTGGCGGGGCTGGAGTGGCGGGAAATACCACGGGTCGGGCAAGACAGGGGAGCCTGGTGCTGGAGGAGTGCAGGGCTGGAGGCAGACCCGGCCAAGCGCGGCAGGCAGCGAAGCTTGTCTGCGTAGTGGTGTTGGCAGGCACACGATAATTATCAGATAACTTCAACCGTTGTAGGATGTACCATCAATAAGTGTTCAAAATCGTGTTGGTCTAATAAAAGAGATCATCTCTACTACGAGCCCTGATTGCTTTTTCCTCTAGACCAGTATGGCTACAACCTGCATACCGGAGAAAACGTAGGATAATTTTTGAGGCAGCTAATTGACGCAGCAGATGCAAAACCCAAGTCAAGCTCAGGGAGTCTTAACTGACTTTTGGGCTTGCTGCCCGCGCACTTCTTTATGACTGCTTGCCTCAAAATAAAGAACTGCTTCAACTTTGATGACCCAGTTCTCACTCTCTGCCATTTTACAGCAAGCAATATAAAGTAAAAAAGAAATTATTTGCATAGTTGTCCAGTGTAGGCGAATTTTTCAGCAAATATGAATCAGAACTCGTGGTAGAGGTGATATCTTTTATTAGACCAACTAGAATTTTTTGCAAAAAACAAGTCTTTAATTGCAAGCTTTTGGGCACAAGCACCCTTCTTCAGGCATCCGAGAAAAGATTGTAAACATTCTTCTGAATAGAAATGAAAGTTCATATTTCATAGGAGAGTTGAAGGTGTGGTAAAATCTCCTGTTTGGAACAGTTCATTTTATAGTCAGCAAATATGATATTTTTTAGTTTCCAATTTGATAATTTCATATTTAAGACCTGGCAGTGGTGCCGCCTGAGATGCCTTTAGGCCAGGAGATGCTGGAAAGTCCAAGTACAGAAGGCAGGAGAATGAATGATGCGGTTATACCAGGATGAAGCACTGCAGGCTCTTGGTCGGCCTGTTCAGATCAGAAGCAACTTTTCCCTGTTCACCGATGCTAGTACCTCTGTGTTGCAGGCTGGCTTACTGGTTCAATTAGCCTGTCAGTGGTATTGTACACCTCGGTGGGGAATGAAGTACGTGTCCCTCCTCCTTTGTGCAGGGGGATGGGTTCTATTTGCTGCTCCTTTCTGGCAGTGCTGCCAAGCTGATTACCTTAATTCATCTAATGAGATGATCGCTCAAAAGAACTTGGCAGCTACTTAAATTGATCTTGTTTACCTCTGTGAAAGTTATGAGTAGTTGCTGATTAAAAATCATATCTTAAAAAGAAATATTTTACGGGATTGCTAATGTCAAAGAAGGGTGTTCAGTGTAACATGGACACACACCCTGTCCTTTGATTGGCGATACTACAGTGCTCGCCTTCCAAAGCTTCCCTTGTCTCTCTCCTGGCCTCATGTTCTGTCTCAGCCCCAACCTCCAGGCTGGCCCTCGTCTTTCTGTTCCCTGTGATAACTGCCAGGCAGAACCTGTGGGCAGCCGGATCCTAACCAGCCCCTCAAAGCAGCGGTTCTCAAACTTTTTGCACCTTATGTCCCACCTATGTAAGGTCAAAAAATCCTGGTCCCACCGCCGAAGAGAGGGGGGGTGGGCCCAGGGGCCAGTCGAAGAAGGGTCGGGATCCCCCAACGGCCAATCGAAACGCGGAAATCGAAACCGGAAGTCTCCGGTGGCACCTAAAGTCCCACCGGTTGAGAAGCCCTGCTTTAACCAGGACTGGAGACGGGGGGGGGCACTTTGTTTGAAAACACCTATTTCTCTGCAGGGCTTTCTAATAAGATCACACAAGTATTGCATGTCCCAGTCCCGCCCCCCCCACGTTGCTTGTCCCAGTTCCGCGCACGCTTCTTTGCCCTTATCCGCTTCCGTTGGTTTGTCCGGAGGTTCCGCTGCCCTCACACTACACCCCCGCCCCCCCTTGTGCCTTGCAAGGTAACAGCCATGGAGACTCCCTGCTAGCGCTTCTCCCCCCACACATGCGAAGACGATGCTGCCAGGTCCCGGGGACGCAGCCAAGCCCGGCGGCGCCACCAGGAGAACACGCAACAGCCGGGTCCCCCGAGGTGAGCGTGTTAAGGCTGCCCCACCCCTGCCCTGCAGGGACAACGAGCTACAGCGCCAGCACCGGCCCCTTGCGCCCTCTCCTGGGTACCTACGCCACGTGCCGCACGCGCTCGCGGAAGCTCGGCCCTCACACAGCGGCTCCCATTGGTCACCGGCCGCAGTGACGCATCCGGAGCCGGAAACCAACTCCTGGCACAGGAAACGAGGGGGCGGGATTCGGCGGTTCCGGCACGTGCAGCT